CTGTAGAGTATTTCGACTTTAGTTTGTTAGCTGTTACTGTTAGTGAAAGTTTGAGGCTTGAAGCAAAGCTTCTAGGCTTTCTTTGTCTCGTAAATTAATATCTTAATTTTATGTGAGCTGTAATTTCTGATATACAAGCTATATAACAGTTTTTCTCCAATAACAGATTGTGAACAGTTACAGTGTAACACAGTCCATTAATATATACAAGGCGAGATGTGGTGGTTTCTTTATTATGGAGGCATCTAATAGGTGGGCTACCATTGCCTCCTATGAAGGGACCGACAGTTACAACCATGCATTCTCCGGGATTCGAACCCAGGCCCTTCGGTATTGAAGTTAGGCTTCCCTAACCACTCTACCGTCTGGGCGGCGCTATATGACAGTTAATCTGACAATTAAAAAAGAAGGTTTATGTTAAACTATTACACTGGAGTTAATTTACTTAGAACTTTAAGACGAAACGATAAGCTATCTGACTGTCTTTATGAGTCTAGCAGTTAACATAATACGATAGTTCCGTACACTTCTGTGACCATACTACAAAGAACCTTCACATTGAGCAATTATGCATCTCCGTAGAAATTTGGAGAGTTGAACTTCCATTTTACGTCTGTAAGTTGTGAAATAAATTCATTGCAGTAGTTATATTCTCTTTACACCATTAATTTTGATTTGGCTGCGTTTGTAAACCAGCTCAAAATTCAACAGCCATCCGTGAAAGTTCGACTGGTGTACAGGTGGAATACGTGACTGAAGCAATATTTATAAATCTCGACAGAAGTTGCTATATTTGTTAGTAGTAGGTTATAACACCGGGACAATAGCTTCACCGGTCGACGTACTTTCTAACATCTTTCATATGTGTCGACAGATCGCTGCTGTGGCAATGCCCATCTTTCCCGTTACATTTCGGGGCATGGACCTTTTCCTGAATTCTTCGCACGCTTTGGCATTAGTGATACCAATGTCTGCAGTTGTGGTGAACTCGGCTCTCCGGAGCACTATTTAGCCAATTGTCCCCTGACAGAAGGCCTACACATACGATTTCCTACTGAAAATCGTCAGGCATTTTGCAAACTCTTAGTTAAGCAAAGACACCTGATCCGCAAACTAAATTGCGTAATGGAGAAAGTCTCCAGCATTGGGCTTGACCTATGTTAAGTTTAATCTAAATGGTTTTCAGGAAATATATTAACCATGTACTATCTGCTTTTTGTAGCTAGACTGTTAAATAATAAAAGACAAATGAAATATAAGTTTGACTGCATCACGTTAGTTTTTGTGTGTATCGAACTCCATCTATCACCTTTTCAGGTTTGTTAGAAATTTTTATTTTTATTTTTATTTATCTATTATATACATATATACATATATTTTTTAAATTCGTAATCGATTTTGTATTATTATTATTATTAATTATTATTATTTTTATTTATTTTTTAAGCTATGCCTTTACATAGTTCTTACGTTGGTTTGTTTGTACTGTACTCTTCTATCGATAGTATGCTTTTCTTATTAAGTTGATTGTTCATAAGATAATCATTATCTTAATCATTGTATCATGCTTACAAGTATCTTCATTCAGTATAGTATTATCAGTAAATTATGTTGGTATGTTCTATTATAATGTATAGTGAGTCTTCGTACTATAACAGAAATTGTAAATGTTTATTTGATGGCATCATGTTAATCTAATTACATTGAAATCTGTCTCATGTTGTAAGAATCTGTCTACTTTTTATTTAGTGCACAATTTCAATATCATTGTTTCTTGTCTCATGTTAGCTAGTTTCATTCTTAAGTCAGCAAGTATAGCATTATCAGTAAATAATTCTAGTCGGTCTGCAAATATCGCATTCAGTCAGTAATATAGTTCTGTCGGTACTATAGCTATTGTTCACAATATGGATAGTTTCAGTCAGCAGGTATAGCTTTTTCCGCAAATTCTTCTTTATTTGTATGCAACTTTCTGCATTTGTATATGTTTTTGTTTAACTATTACATATTTGAGCCTACTATTTTTACAGATGACTTGTTTATTTGTTCCGTACTCTCCTACTGTTCATATGCATTTTTCATTTAGTTACTTTTTTTTATAATAGCAAGCATTATTATTCAGTTAGCAAGTATAGCATTATCCGCATACTATGTTACTAAGTTCTATTGTACAATACGTTAGGTCAGCTCTTTAACATACCAGAAACTGTAAATTTTAGTTTGGCATCATGTTAGTTAATTGCATTGTACTATCTATCGCTGTATGAATCTGTCAACTTTTTAATTAAAAAGTAAATATTATATATATTATATAGCATATAGCATTTGTATATGTTCTTGTTTACCTATCGAATTTTGAACCAAGCATTTATACAGATTTCATGTTGGTTTGTTTGCACTGTACTGTATTTTCTACTGTTTTTACGCATTTTTCATTTATCTACTTGTTTATAAGAAAATAATTGTAGTATGCTTTTCTTTTTATATTATATTAGCATGCATTATCATCCAGTCAACAAATCTAGCATTATCAGTACACTATGTTACTATGTTCTATTGTACTATATGTTCAACTGTATTATTTCTGTCAGCTCTTTACCATACCAGAAATTGTAAATGTTACTTTGATGGTATCATGTTAGTTATTTATTTTGAACTTATCTAATGTAGTAAGAATTTGTCACGTTAGCCTGCATCGGGGTCCCAACTATTTAGCCAGTTTGTATTGTACAATTTTTTACTGAATGTAAGAACCTTATCCTACTGTGCCGACTACATCCTACTGACTTGCAAAATCTGCAAATTTGAGCAATATACATTAATTACATAAACAAAATATTTAACTTGCAGACTTTGATCTATAGATTTTGTACTACATCTATAGAATATGGACTATAGACTTTGAACTGTGAATTCTGACTTTTTTTTGAATTGTGAATATTGTGAATTTGAACTGTGAATATAGACTTTGAACTATAGACTTTTGTTGGAACTACAAACTACTCTTCATCACTACTATTTCTTTTCGTCGCATATTATATTCAAAAATCCGCACATATTTTAAAGAGTTATGTCATATATTATGTTAAAAATTTTTGTATTACATTCAAAATTCTGTGCGTTTATAATTATGCTATTTTATACATTATGCTTCAACTTTTTTTTACCTTCCAAACTGTGTATCATTTCAAATTATGTATTCATTTCAAATTATGTATTCATTTCAATTATGTATCATTGCAAATTTTGTATTCATTTCAAATTATGTACCTGTTTGCTAATATCAATAAACGGCTGGGATCACGTAGTGGGGAGACGGGGGTAAACCAATTAACCAAATGGTAAAGGCGTGGTGCCCGTCTTCCCCGTTCCTAAATCCTAAATCCTAGTAGTAAGTTACGTATGCCCAAAATTATCGAAACAGTTCCAAAATTAATTTCGAAAATTCTCAATGATGCGCAGCATCCTGCTGACGTAAAACTTCTAACAAATTTCGTTGGAAATTCATACTGAAACAGTGCAGTATTTGGGGCCGTCATGAATAAAAATGATGATTCCAATGCAATAAAATTGCAGTCATCTTCATTTTTAGTGAACTCGTCTATACTGGGCGTCAGTAAGAGTAGTCAGTCCAAAGAGGTTTTTATTTCAAATGTTTAAGGATTTTTTAGGTTTGAATTCTAAAGATTTGATCGAGAATTATAATTTAAACTCATTCTGAGAATCTGAGAACTATGAAGATTCGAAAGTCGCAGACTTAAACAAATTGGGTTGAACCTTCGAAAACTGTACCTTTTTGCATCTAACGAATTAATTCAATTATTTAAGTTAGATATGATCTTAGTATGTTAGCCCTCATGTTAATTATGTGAGAAATTAAAATTATTATTTTCATACAAACCTTAATAGCTTACTCTAAAATAGTTCTTATTTCTCGAATAACAGTGCCTCTGCTTTGTGCGCTGTCCTTGAACACTTATGTTTTTTAAAACTACATGTAGGAGTTAAAATTTATTATGTAGGAGAAAAATTACTCAATTTAGGAGGAGAAAAAATGAGTGATTTATTCATTCAAATGAAAAACCTTTTACGGTATGTATTTCTAAAAACCAATACGTATTCTTTCGAACTCAGTTCACTTCTACTAAAACCAAAGAACAATTACGGACGAAGAGGAATAAAGGAAACCAAAAGAAAAATGCTTGTTTTTTTACCTGAAAGACGAATGCTCAAATACATCGTACAGTAGTTTCAGATTTATAATTTGTTGGATCGTAATGTTTAGTTTCTGAGCAGGAGAAATAAAGTTTCACATTTTTCTGTAGGCATATTAATTGCATAAAAATGAGAAAATCTCAATAATTTACTTTAAATATTCATTATTTTTAATATAAGTATGGATTTGCGGCTTTCGAAGGTTCTTGAAATCCATCATGCGGCTCCTGTCGTAGTGACGTTTTGCCACCCCTGGCAAAGACAATGGTTCTAGTTATTGTGCAGACTGTAAATTTTCCCCCAGAAGACGAGTCGAGTCTGTTTAGGTATTGACCTAGCCAAAACGCCGTGATTGCTCCCAGTCGACACTCCGGGGTATTTTACAAAGACAAAAACATTGTATTGGATACTAGAGTATAAACAGTTTTTTTACATTTATACTCGTTTTTTATTTGAATAGACGTCGATAACATGGATGGCAAAAGAAATTACTGTGAATAATAATAATGTAGAAAGAGTTTTATCCGATGAGAAGCATACGAAAGAAGTTTTAATGTTTTACGTAATGGTATAATCAAAACAACAAAATGGAACAACAAAAACCTAAAACAGAAGTGACACATTTAATGAAGAAAAATTAGAAAAGCACTGGAGATGAATATGTAGCCGTGAAAATCTGAAAATAGTATTTCCGTCAAATATTTCCACTTCCAGCTTCAGTTTCCTGCTCTTAGAAACGTTTTCGCATTTAGTGCTTATAAGAAGGGAAAAAAATAGTAGTAACATCCTTCCTAGAGAATTTCTCGAACAGGAGATATAATCAAGATAAGATAAAACTAACAGTATAAAATTAGCGATTAAAAGTATTATCTTTGTTTCCCACTTGCCTTATTCCGCAGACGATCAGAATTCTGGTGATAGAAACAAAATGAAGGTCTTTGTAAGTATGATTTCATATTTTTATTTCTGTACCATTTTCATGTTTTTATTTTTCTATAGGCATTTCGGTTTAATTCATTTCTGTATAAAGATTACACTAAATAGAACTATTCTGAAAGTTTATCAGTTAGCCTTGGAACTGATATCTCGCAATAGCATAATTATACTGTAGCGATTGCAATGATTGTTCATGCATAATTAAATTCGATAGTTCGGATACGCAAGCTATTTCTTTATACTTTCCAAGAATCTCTTTGTTCAGCTCCTTGGTGAAAGTAAACATTATCTTCTTATTAATTTTCTGAAAACTCAATGTTAATTTTATAAAATGTTTATTCGAAAAAACCCAAAATCTCTTACAAATTAAGAGTTACAATGCAGGTTGTTTACTAAATGTTAGTAAGAGGCGTACTGATGTTAATAGTAAATTGTAACATCTGAAAAGAAGAAAACGACTTAACTCGCAAAATACTAATTTACCAACTTCGAATCAAACTCGAAGCAAGTACCGTACGGTAAGCAAAAGTTTCGCATCTAAACAGGACGTATGTCAAGCTGGATTTATTTCAAAAGCAGACGTATATCAAGCTACCACTGTTTTTTTTTTTCATACACTGAACATCGAAAAACGATACCATAGATAACTGAGCTCACCCGCTTTTGTCAGTTTGTTAGACTTTTATTTTCTGCACAAAATGATATTAAATAGTATTTACGGTTAGCCTTCAAATGTCTTAAAATCTATTACATCAAGTTCCGCAACTAAGACATTATCATTAAAATTATATTAAATTTTACAGTATTAAAAGTGCATTTGACTTTCATTAGATTTATCATAAAACAATCATATTAATATGTTGTTTAAATATTTATAATTCTATTTATTTACAGGAATTAACATAAATTTCTCTTTTTCTCTCTCTCTATGAGTAAAAATAGTATTTTTATGTAATTACTTTATTTTTAATCACAGTTTTCGAAATCATGATAAGTCATACGCATCTACGTCTTCAGGAAGTTGAAAATTTCTGAAAATATGGAATTAGTTTAAAATCATGTTTCTTCCCAACTCTAATTATATTATGAACAATTAAGAAAACTCTTTATAAATTAGCTAACGGCTTTTTAAAATGATCAGCTATCTCTTTTTTTTTTTCTTAACGATCAGCTATCTTTTTAAAGTTTCTTTTCTTCTAAGTCAATTTTCAGATTAAGTTACTAAATGACACATATTCTCTTAAAATTGAATAGGGACTTAGAACGATGGCTAAAGTTTAGCTGAAATTATTTCAGCAAATTTCAATTGCAAGAAAATGGAAAAAAAAAATCACTCAGTGGTAAATTGGAATGTTTAGCTTTCAAGAGCATTATTTAGCTTTCTGTTTACATAAGAATTATACTTTCATATCCATGAACTGAATATAAAAGAAGATATCAAAGCTAATGAAACAACCTTTAAAAGGGGACATAACATATCGTCACAAACACTTTTTGCCATAAACTACATGGCGGCATATTAAGCGATAAGGCGCTGAAAAGCACATTTTATTTCCCCACAATGTGCACTGCGTTTTTGAATCTTTCGCTTCTTTTCACAAAGAGTTTTCATGCTAGAAAAGGAAAATTTCGAATTCATCCTGTGGGGATACTATATACAAATTTATTTTTAGATTCATTTTACTTCTGTACTTGTATTTTGCATTTTGTATTTGCTCTTTAGTTATAGTATGCATGTCTAATGAAGACTTTTATATCTGATGATTTTGATTTACAGTGGTACTAAAATTCTTTTAAATTATCCATGTAAATTTTGGTAACTTGATTAGCACTTTTTGTCGTCAATTGTTTAGAAGCATTCTCAACTGTACCCTTATTTATGTCATATATTTTTCTTCAATTATTTTTCTTTTGACGGAGACTCATTGCATATTCGCGCCGAACTCGCCAGATTCGTGCGCAATGAGCCTTCATTAGTAAGTTGAAGTTGACATATGAATGAAAATGCAGACATCATTAAATGACTTTGCTTTATGAAAGATGGCATTTGTAGCAAAATGCACATCTTTCTCCAGCGCTTAACCGCCTTAACGTAAGACTATGTAATCTATGATGAAGTGTATTCATTTCGGATTGTTTCTTTATTACCTTAAAGTTTGCTTCATTAACTTTTAAGCATCTGCTTCATTTAAGCATCCCTCTGAAATAGAGTATTTTTCGAAGTTAAGAAAGAGAAACAGCGAGTCAGTTAAATTAATTGTTTTAATTCGTTTATCATGCAATAAAAGTTATTTTCACCAAAATAATATTTAAATTAAATTCACTGTTAAATTGTGTCTTTAGGTAAGTGACAATTTCTTAGTGAAGAGCGTTTTTTTTTTAATATTGTGCTTTACAGAAAGACAATAAGTCTTATTTCTTATACAATAGTTAAAATAAAAGCATTTACATTATGTTTAATCAGTTTGTGTGTAATAACTTTCTAGACTTTTGTAGAACGTAATATAATATATGATGTTATTTTAAGTTATTTCCAAATATAAAGTAAAGTAAAACAAAATTTATCGAAAATAGATAATTAAAATTGGCTAAGAATTATATGGAAATATCCAAGCCGAAAAACTGGATCGCAATATAAAAATACGAAGACAAAATTACACAAATGGACAAGGAGTTAAGCTGCTAAATATATTTATCATATAAATATTTCATACGTATATGTTATATACACATAAAACATATTTAGACGTACGTGTAATTAAATATTTCATTACTGCTACTTAAACGACCAACTTTATACCCATAAACAACTGACAATAGCGTAACTGAATTAAATATGTCTTTTATAAATTATATTAATGCTGAAAAGTTTCTCTTTCCCGATTTTATTTAGGTTTCCTTAATTTTGTTAAATGTTTAAAAAAAGCTTTTAAACAATGTATCTTAAGTGGAAAAATAAGGAATTTCTAAATGAATTAATGCAAATTTTTTACTTAAAAGTTAAGTAGAATTTTTAATAGTAAAATAAAATACATTCTTCGCAAATACTTATGGAAAAAATCTGATGTGCACACCACATAACTTCCTTGTACGGAATATTCCATTATACCCCTTTTTTCTTGCATTTCGTTTAAACATATTGGATTGAATTAAATCTTCTTCGCCGACAGCGCATAAACCACAATAGAATAAATGCATTAAGCAAACAAAAAAAAAAAGTTTTTCACAGACGATTGAGTATTTCTCATTCAATTCGCGACAAGGCAAAAAATACTTAAAAACCCAAAATATCTGTATCAAAAATTACGAAGTAAATATTAAACACTTATTTCCTCAAAAAAATTCCAGAAAGAATTAAGCATGATTTAATTCACAATAATAAATGAAAGCGTTATCTTTGTTGTTGCGAAGCTACCTTTCTCTAGATGGCAACAAATCCCTACTCTGCTGTTTAAATGTAAACAATCATGGCCCGCATAAAAAAAAGGTTAACGGCACTTAAACAACTTAAAATTGTTGATATTCTAAAAAAATTGCTACAGATTTACTAAAGGCATAAAAACCTTAATCGAAGATAAAACACACAAATTCAATCATTTTTGAAGCAATTTACAATTTATAAACATTTAAGAGTAAAGAACTGAGATCACTGAGTCGGGTAACGATTGGGTATGTATATATATTCTATATATATATACGTTTGGTGCGGGCCGATTGCAACCAAAATATGAGGTGCACGTCTACATTATATTAGTCCTATATACAACATTTCAACGTTCTGGCTACTCGTTTTTGAGTTAGCGAATACGTTTCGCGCGTACGTACATACGTTCGTACAACGCCCGAAAATGCTCTTCAGAATTCATTTTAAGCATTTTTATAATTTTTTGGAACGGACCTCTTCTTCTGGCCGTACGACAGATGCCCTCAAAAACATCGTTAAATAAAATTGCATTCGAAAGCGGTCAATGGATATTTTCGTTGAAATCTGCTGCCTGAAACTTTCGTGATTACAATACCCTCTTTTTACTTCGTACAAAAGTAAAAAGGTACCATCTTTTTTTTTTTTTTTTTTTTTTTTTTTTACTTGGACAAAGAAATTAGTTTTCGGTTTCAGTCAAAAAAATGCTTAATATTAACATTTTTCACTTGCATATAGAGTGACTTTATTATCATGAATGTGTAACTGTTTTTGTAACATATAATTAGTTTCTTTGTTATATTTCATGCTTATAATTACGTTTCTAGTTTATTAGTATTTTAAGCAAAATAATTTTAATTAATTTCGAAAACGGCATAATATGGTAGCCCAGACGGTATAGCGGTTAGGGAGCCTACTGTGGTACCGAAGGGCATGGGTTCGAATCCCAGAGAAGACATGGATGTTTGTAAATATATATTACCTGTGCGGTATTGAAGCACTCTAAATATGCGGCGGTGTTTCGATGGAAGGCGAGCGAGGTGAGAGACCTGGACCACCCCCCAGGGTGTTCTGTCTCAAAATTGAAGTACAAAATAGAAGTCCAACCTCTCTTTGGAGTAGGTTCTGGCAACCATTCTTCCATATAACATAGACACGACAACAACAATACAACAACAAAGGCATAATATAGAGTGGTTATTAAAACTTGCATGATATATGTGCGCAAATTTATTTGCAGCAAATTTATTTTATTACCAATAGTTTCTTCAATGACTGAATGTTTCATTTGACCATTAATTAAATGATTAAAATTTGCATAATTACTTTGATCACCATTAAATTTAAATCGAATTTGAAGCCTACATTGAAAACATTGTAAACTGAATTTAAAGTGCATATACAGTAAATCGAACTATTTTATGATATAAAGTCATGCAAAATATAATTGCCTTTATGATGAACTTTTATGCTTAGAGAAATGTAGTCTTTGCTTCCAGTTTACCATTTCTTGGTTAATAGTAACATTTCATTAGATCTTGAAAATATTTAAATTTTCCCATTTAGTAATAAAGTAATTTTATAGCTTCCATTATTCTATAAGCCACTTTTAAAATATAAAATCAGCTAGATTCTTTTATCAGCATGCTCAATTTCAGTTTTCTCAGTGTTCAGTTCAAGACGGTGAGTTTAAACGTTAATCTTCCACCCTAATATAAAGGATTCTTCCACCTATGAGCAGAAATACAGTGCGCAATATTTCATTGTTGCTTCCTGAACTTCACAGAAAATCAAGATAATTTATTATTACTAATAATCCTTGGAAATCCAGCGCAACTACAGAATTTTTATTCGTGATATTCTAAATTAAAGGCTTAGTGATGGTTTTAAATTTTGTGTCGCTACCATAAAAATGTAGTAAAATTTGATAAACCTTGCTTTCATAAATATGCAAAAGGGAAAAAACTGCCTATAAATCTATAATGCCTTGCACATCAGAAATAATTATTCTTCATTCAATGTTCGTACACATATTAATGAATAAAGCTTTCATATATTTATGTGTTCTAATACCGGTTTGAATATATCATTTAGGTTTATTAGGCTTTTAACGTAATTGAGAGAGGCCTTGGAATGTATACATGTGGCTGCAAGAGCGGAAATATACCTTTCGAACTCTAAGAACTCTATAAGAGCTGTTTCTAACTTTTCATTCTTTATTGTTTCAGCATAACACAAAACAACGCTCAATATAATGCACTAAATATAACACAGGATAATAGAATCTACATCTCTGTTTGTAAAATAAGTCTTTAATCGATTGCCTTGAAGTGACTTTCTCGATAATGAGAATTGTTACAGATTTATTTTTGCTTTTGACGAAACCCTAATAGGCTTCTTCCTCTTTCAGCTCCATTGTAAGAAACAAAATTATATCAGACAGGTTTCATGGCAAACATGTAAGGAAATGCCAGGCACAAATGATCCACAATAACAAACTACATATTATTGATCCATTATTCTTATTAGGTGTGTGTTGGCGAGGATTACGGTTATCGAATCATTAATAATAGCAAGATGGATTCGTTGACAAAAAATATTTCTTTTATTGCAAATAAAAAGCTCATTTATATTATTCAGAAAACCGGTACGAGGATGAAGACTAGTTTAGAATTATGGCTAAGGCTAAATTTTGAATTGTGTAAAACCTTTTATCTTTTTAAAGGTAATAATGAAGTATGAAAATGTACTGTGATATAAGATAAAGTATTTTGTTACTGTAAAGTTATAATATCTAATGATATATTTATACATTGTATTGATATACAGAGCGATTCAAAAGCTTTTTATATATTTAAAACTATTGGGGAATATTAATTAGACAGTCGCAAGGAGCATAATGGAGATCAGGTCGGGCTTGAGATTGGACTGTCGTATCAGATCGACCGTAGGAAAATTCCTGGTTTTAATAATCTAACACAAATTTACTCACTGCGAAGATGTTCCTTCTTTATAATGTTTTTTCAAATAACATCTTAACTGCATCCAAATAAAGTTCTGTCGCGGTTTTTGGTTATCGAAAGCATGGACATTTCAGTGATCTTTCCCGAAAGGCCATAAAATAGAGCAGTTTGTAAAATTTGTAAATGTTTAAAAGCGTATTGTTAGCTGATGAAAAGTAAAAACTTCTCTAAAAGTACTGTGAAATCAAAATTAGACAGTAACGAAACATTATAACAGAAATATCAAAAGTAGCTTAAATATATTTTTTAATTAGAAGTTGATCATGATGGACAGTTTAAATGTAAAATTAGGTTCCAAACATTTGTTTAAAGAAAACTACTTCAGAAAACACTTACTTACTGTAGAAGCTTAACATATTTGCTGCTCTAATTATTCGTGAGATGGCAAGGAAATTTGTATGAACATGTTAAAATTTAATTGCCATATAAATCTGATGTATAAAATAAACAAATTAACGCTGATGTAAATGAAAATTTTGAAGTTACAGGTTTATATTCTCCAGTAATTTTCTCCTTTTTCTTAAGTTCTTCATTTATTCTTCTTCTATTTCTTTTAAATCTTCTGTTCTTTTTTCTTATTCTTCTATTTCTTCTTAATCTTCTATTCTTCTTTCTTATTCTTCTATTTCTTCTTAATCTTCTATTCTTCTATCTTATTCTTCTATTTCTTAATATCTTGATACACCATATTTTAAAGCTGCAACTGGCAATTTTTTTTTTCTGTCTGAAAACTTGTGTCTGTCGAAATCAATAAAGATTTTATTGAAAATCTATGCCGATTATTTCCTTGTCTTCAGTGAAATTTTACACTAGCGTATTTTTCTTCGAATCTGAACTATACTCTTTAAGGAAAAGAAATTTATTGCATGTTATTTTTAATTTATCATGCTCAAAATATATATTTCAATCCATTATCACGAGAATATTGTGGAAAGTATTAAAAATATTGCAGGCCTATTTATCTTAATTTTTTTATTCACGTTAAAATTTTATGGCTTTTTTGGTTATATTATAAAGCTATTTTTTATCATTTTGACACTTACTTTTGTATAGATTCTCGTTTCTGTCTTTAACACTAGGCTGCTCAAATAATTTCTTATGAAACACCTACTAAGTATTATAATAAAAAAGTACCAATTTTTTACTCGATTTATTCTTATTTTATTGTTTAAAACCTTAATAAATGAAGAAAATATTAGTTTTATGTTATGCTAAATTTCTTAAATGTTTTATAAAAATTTGAAAATTAGGTTTGTAAGAATAAATGTTTCTGTTAACTTGAGAAATTACCTCAAACCATAAAATTTAAAACTGCATAATGTGTTAATCAGGTTCTTAAATATGCTCTTTATTTCACAATTTAAAAGCATAAATTTTCAGTTCTTTTAAACGAGCTTTGAATTGTGAAAAATAATTTAACTAAATTTTACAGAACAATTAATTTTAGATTTTGTTTAAAATATATGAATTTCATTTCCTCAGATTCCTGATAAATTAATGCTTTAAAACATATTGCATTTAGAGCACAATAATGAATACCATATGAATAAGTACAGTTAAGAATAGAAAGGTAATCATTAAAACTTCAAGCAATAATTCATCCTGCAATTTGAGTTTTTTCCATTGATTTTATCAATAAAGTATATTAAAAATAATTGGGGTATAAAAAACTGTATAAGGAACCATGCCCCCTTTAAATTTTTATATTTTTATTATTAAAATTTGATACCATTTTTTTAAAATTCAAATCACTTTCCCTTTAGGTATTATAATATTCAGAATCCTCTTTTAATTTCCCGCGTATTCATTTTCTGTTAAAAGTATGCAATCGCTCAAGTTATTTTTGGAAATATAAACCATTTCTGAAATTATGAGTAAATGCAAAGGATAAATATGTAATGTTTTTTAAACATGATTATTTTATAGTTTTCATAAAGAAGCCCACATTTTATTTTTTCAAATTTTACAAAAATGCCTTTTACATGTTCCAGAGCATTTTAAACTGAAATGCATGTAATATGTAAATTATACACATGACCATTCTCCAATGCAACACCTGTTGAAATAATTTCTTTTATTTTTTTTTATTTTTAGGTGCCATTACTTGCCTTGACTGTGTTAGTCGCCATCGTTCATGCAGATGTTGGCTACGGCAGAGGCGGTTATGGCGGTGGTGGTAGGTATGGAGGAGGTGGATTAGGTGTTGGTGGAGTCCGTGGTGGTGGAATAGGCGGTGGTAAACTTGGTGGAGGTGGACTTGGTGGAGGTGGACTTGGTGGAGGAGGACTTGGCGGTGGATATGGTGGTGGATACAACCGCGGTGGTGGAATTGGCGGCGGACTCGGAGGCGGAAAAGGACTAGGTGGCGGATACGGTGGCGGATACGGCGGTGGAATAGGAGGTGGAAGAGGAATAGGTGGTGGATATAATCGTGGCGGATATGGCAAAGTAGTTTAATTTGAAATTCAATATAAACTGCTTAGGTGTTTTGTTTTTCTTTAAAGCTTATCTTCAAACTGTTATAACAGAAAGTCCCAATGCTGTTCATTCCACGTTATTTATATTGTGCATATTATTTAAGTATTGCATTAACTGGAGTGATACTTTACGATACTCTAAGTTGCAAATTTGACTGTATTTGTTTAAATCTGCTCATGTTTCTTTTGTCTGACATTATGATACCACATTTCAAAGAAATAATATTATGGACTGCTTGTAACTGAAGTTATGAAACACGATTTCTGAATAAATTACTTTATTTAATGATAACCGTGTATTTATCTTTATACTTAATTACAGTCGTGTTCTAATTATAACTTTTATGTAATGCAATAAAAATATATGAAATAACCCAAGAAATTTGGGATTTGCATTAAATTATATTAAGATTATTTTTTAACTAATTTCTAATATTTTTTCTATTTTTCATAACACTGAAAACTTTAGCGTTTTGTTAATACAATATATAATATTGTGATATTTTCATACCATTAATAAGTAATACATAAAGATAATGAAAACATCTTTATCAGATTAATCATACTTTTAAAAATAAATTTTTTTTTACAAAATTTCAATAAGGCAGAATATTGAAACGAATGAGGATTAAGAATATATTTTTCTTAATGGGTTATTTCCAGAACAAATGGTAGTTTTTAACATTTCTTTCACTATCTGATATAGGGAATACTTGTAAATAGTTAATGGTATATTTTAAGTATCTTCATATATAATTTGTATGTAGACTTCATTTCCTTAAAATCCCATTTAAAATAAACTGGAAATGAAACAAAATCTGGCATTTTATTTTTAAATGGAATTCATCGTCTGAAAAACTGTGTTTTCGATACTTTTTGTGTTTTAAATCTGAGTTATCAGCTGTCACTATTTGCCTCTTTATAATATATAGGAATATATATCGGATTACAGCTGAAAGCCTTTCCTAGTTGTTCTAAGCATTTCAATAACTTTCTGAATGTATGTAATCTTACATAAAAACCCATAAGATATACGGGAAGAGAATAAAAGACCCATAAAATATTTGGGAAGAGAATAATTAAAGGGGGCTAGGGAACGCTGTCCTTCTTGAAACCCAGATTATCTGAATTTGAAATTACATATGCAAATCATAGAGAATTTATTTTGAGGGCTCAAGAAAAAATGTACCATGATCACATCAGCAACCAAGCTGTTTAGAAAAAAATATCTCCATGTAGCTAATAGATGACATATCTGTATATCTAAGCACTATTGCGCTTGAGAACGCAGGAATACCGTCTACATACAAAAAAAAAATGCACTGAAACAATCATGATATATTCGCATGATGTAGAGTGAACCTCATTTTCATTGAAGGGTCTAAACCAGAGATAGCAAGATCAAACAAAAAACAAGGCTAATAGGCAAAATGGCTTTTTATAGCAGTCAGTGCACAACAAGATTTCAAAAATAAGGCAGGTTTTGAATCTGTTTCAGTTGCTTAATTTCCTGTAGCAGCGCTGTTTTCTAATCCTGGAGCGTTACAGAAGGGGTGAAACGAATCGCAGCTGCTTTCCCAAGAGTGTGAGTAAGACGTGTTCTATAAACTTTAGATCTAAAAATCTAGTTGACCAATTAATCAGTTAATATCTCACTTTCCAGAAAGTTATCCAAGAGATCAGCACTGTATGAAGAAATGTTTTCGTTTCTGAAAATGAATTTAAAAATACCCTAAAAAATGAACTTAGGATGATCTCACCAGTTTGCAAGAAGACTCGAGTCTTGTTTATTTCTGCTTGCATTTTAAAAGCTGCAGAAAATGCCATCTTTAGACCAAGCACTAGTAGGGCGCGTGTCTTTCACAGATGAGTCCCTATTCAGTCTAACTACTGATTCGCAACATACTCTCAACTGGAGAGAGCCTGAGACCTGTTACCTTTCCATCAGTGTCCAACTGGAGAGAGCCTGAGACCTGTTACCTTTCCACCAGTGTTATCAATAGGGAGAAATATAGTAGCAGAAGTTCGATGGTCTATACAGGCACCATGTTGGAAGGGAGCGCAGACCTTTAGTCTTTCAATAGAGGCCCTGAAATTGCTGCGAGATTGCAGTAGAGATATTTGAAACCTATTCTGGCCTTTTTAGACCTGCAGCTAGTTTTCTTTTCAGTTTTATAGATTATGGATTTTATTTCAGTTTTATCATCGGGCTAATTTTGTGATAATTTTCTCGGAAAAGGATGATATTAACTGGATACATTCACTAGCCAAGTCTCAAAACCTAAGGTCGGTATAACATATCTGAGACTCATGGGCACTGCAGCTGGCCTTTCCTGTATCAGAACATACAGGATGTGAAAACAGCGTTGCTGCACATGTGGGACCAACTTCCACAGGCAGTCATTCAATCGCTTCATTTGTAGTGTGAAATTATATTGTGAAAGCTGTATGGCAGTTAGAATAAGATAATACCTATCCTGTTAGAGCCTTCAGTGCTCGATCTTGAGACCTCTGTCTGAAATCTTCTTGAGTTTATGCTCGATCACAGACGTGTCTCTTGAACTATTGCACGGTTTATTTGTTTTGTGTATATCATGCTACATACACTGCTCAAAAAAAAAAAAAAAAAAAAAAAAAAGGACAGTTCTATATCTCCCGTTCACAAATTCAAATTGCGATTGGGCCGATTCACAAAATTCAAATTGCGTTCTTCATGTCTCGAAAGCGCGACTTAGGATATATATTACATTTATATATAGCACTATTCTACATAGGTATGTACACAAAATCGACTTTTTCTGAAATAACATACCATTTGTTTACATAGTTCGATTCTACAACTCAAATGACGCCTAAATATAAAATTTTGTAAAACTGGAGCGGAATTTACGGGAAAATTCACAATTTATGTTGGCACTTTTTTCAGTTGCGCCAAGAATAGTTCACTTGGCAAACTTCTTAATATATGGCAACCTAGTTTCCTTTTCCGTGAGAGGAAAAAAGTCACATCGTTCATTTTTTTCTAAATAATATTCTTTATATTA